CAGTCAAACCACCTACAAGACACCTTCCATCCAAGAAATCCAGCCTCTACTCTCTCTCATTTGCTCTCTCTGTGTATGAGAGAGACCTGGGGCAAGAGGACACTCTGTGCATGTTCAGAGGCATTCCCTGTTCTAATCAGCTTAGATGTGCAAGGAATCCTCTCAGTCAACAATGGCAGGATTTTCTGGAGTTCCAGAGTCTGAAACAGGTGCTGGGGCCTCATATCAGCAACACAACCTGGGAGGACATCAGAGATACCAATGCAGTGATCCTCTTCCACCGATGCCTGCTCTGGGACGCTGTGCCTTACTTCAAAGGCTTCCAGCAAGGAAAGGGCACACGTCACTGAACATTATTAAGGCAGGGTGGGCAATTTGTGACCCGCCAGCGGTTTTGGCCTGCAACTCCCATCAGTGCTAACCAGCATAGCCGGTGGAGAGGCATGATGGGTGTTGTACATCAGAACAGCTGCAAAGTACCCACCCCTGCATGTGGGAGGGAGAAAGGAACTATTTATGTTCGACATATTAACAGTATGCAAGGGAGCCCACAACTGGCACAATATCAAAATCACATTGCATCAAGAACAAGCATCAGCCACCTACTTCAGTAAAAATGTTCCGAAGTGGAACCTCTTTGGCTAACAAAATGCATGTCAGAGAAGGTTTCAGCTGCTCTGGGCCAGGGTGCTCCTCTGAAGGGGATGGGAGGACTTTATTCTTCAAGGCCATTGACCACTTTTCTAACTTTGACATCTTCAGGTATAATGATCTCCCACTGCCAGCACAGAAGCAACCTGGCCCTAAGCTGCCCAGAACTTCTGTGGCTTCCTTCATTCTAAGCAAATGGTTGTCAGCAGAGCTGTGATTGTTCTTCTGGTGCATATATAGGTTCCATCAGAGAAGATCAGTTGCTCAGAGTTTGATGACATAGCAGCAAGAATCCTTGCTGGACGGCACCAAACACCATACAAAGTCAAGCACCAGGTTTTAAGTTTGGAAATGAGTTTGGGTCTGTGTCTCTGTGTAAAATAACATGGTCATTATCAAAGCAACAAGGTCTACTACTATTTTCTGAAACCAAGGTGGACTGAACAAGAAAGAGAAGGGATGAGTCCTCCAACCATCACCCAACTCTGCCTAATTTCAACTCAGGCAGAAAATTAAAATCACGTGAAGCTTTATCGCTGCCTCCGCCTTCCTTGACAGCAAAATGCAGCAATGTTTTCCCACAGACTTCCACCAGATGTCTCTCTGCTGTATACAGGTGTGGACAAGGTGGAACTGGAGCAGGTAAAAACATTGCCATGCATGCTTGGTGTGCTCATCTTCATGCATGTGTGCATGCATATGATGATTATTCACAAGCACTGGCCAAATAAAGATTTATTTTGAAAGACAGCCTGTGCTTTATATTCTATCAGGGGAACAACTTAAAGCCTGAATGGTATTTCGTTCGACACCTGCCCTTGCCATGTTTGGGTCCACCCTAGGGCTACCTTCCCCAGCCAGCCCCCACCCAGCCATGTTGGATCACAACCCCATCATCCCCATTCAGCATAATGGGGAGTGTAGTCTGACATGTCTGTATGGCCCCCATTAAGGAAGGGTGCCCTACAGAGAACTTTCCCTGGAGCGATGTTACATCACCACCACCACCCAGCATTCACTTCATCCTGCCTCATAGCATGGTCAAAATGTAGCCGTCCCCAAAACAAAAACCACCCTGATCAGCTTGAATGGCCCTCCATTTCTAGGCGCTTCTCTGAAGGATGAAGTCTCAGAGAAGGAGACGGGGCCACACCTGCTCACACAAGGGCCATCGCTACTTGTGTTTGTGCTGCTGATAGTGGGGTCTCTTTGTAGCCCTGGAGTAGAAGGGCTACTGGCTGACAGGCAGGAACCCAGCGGTGCAAAGTCAGGGAGCGAGGGCATGCCAACAGCATTTCTTGGAAGGCCTAGCTTTAAATCAGGGTGGGGGTGAGTGGGGGGGCCCAAAACTCAGAGTAAGTGAGCCCAGAGCAAAGAATACTTAGGGACACCCCCTCTCCCCTTCATTTATCCATTTTTCTTTCACACATATAACCATAAACACAGATTTATCTCCCCACTGCAAGGATCCTGAGGTAGTCAAAAAGCAGCAGCACCAGGACCGCATCAGGACTGCTGAAAGGGCAAGTGTATGTTGAAATCCAGGAAAGCGTTTCCTGAGGCCATGCTTTCTGGAAAATGGATGATATCTCTGAGATTAGTCCAGCCTTCCCCAGCTCCTTTAGATCCTTTAGATTAATTTGTAATCCCCAAGCCAGCATGACTGTGGTTAGGAAAGCTGGGAGTTGTACTCCGTTTAGAAGAGGACTGCCACAGTAGAAAATCAGCTGATCGTTTGTAAGAGGACAACAAAAACCACTGAGGGATGAGAACTGAAGCACAGACTGTGGCTCTTTGTTAGGGGAACAGAAGACTATCCAGAGTGTGGGGTTAGGGTTGGAGCAGTCTTCACCAGTCTGGTGCCCATCAAAGGTCTGGACTTCAGCTCCCATCAGACCCTGCTAGTCAGAAATCCTAAGAGTTGTAATTCAAAAGTGAGGGTGCTTGGGTTAATCACGATCCCTCAGCCTAACCTACCTCACAGGGTTGTTCTGAAGATAAGAAGGAAAATTAATGTCCACTTCTTTGAGCTTTTTGAAGGAAAGCCAGGAAGAAAAGAATGCTACTATTAATACTAACAGTAATGCTCAATGGGGCTTGGTCTCTTGTAAGAATGCTCCGTAATGTATTTATTTTATTTATTTAAAGCTTTTATATGCCATCACCACATGCCCAGCGAGGCTCTCCCTACCGTTTTCTTGTGTTCACTGGGGCTTACCAGGGTCAGCTTGGTGGCAGACGCAAGACCTGCATGCAAAAGACCTCAGTGCAAGCCAGACAGGGCTCCCCGAACTCTTGGATGACCATCATAGCTGTTTGCCACTGGGTCTGAACCAGGAGAAGGAAACTTTTTAGGGTGGGGGAGGGGGAGTTAGGAGCTAACTAAATACATCTCTAGCTAAGCATGTCCAGGCATCAGCCTCCACACATTTGCAATATCAGAGGTGTGTGTGTGGGATCTAGTCAAAGGGACAAACAGAAGAAAGAAGAGCCAGTTCAAATCTCAGATATTGCACTGAATAAACTGGGGTTTGCCTCAGCATGCTACCACAACCACAGTTTTGGGATGATTGTATGGTGGCACACACTCATCTGTACTAATTAATTTTACTTAGACTAGAGAGAGACCACTTCATCAGCTGTATAAGGGTATGCATAAGCTGTATGCATAAGGGTATTGAGAAATATGTAAACAGTGAGGCCATGTAAACAGAAGGCAAGAGGTCCAGTTTCAGTGCAGAGTACAAGGAAAACACATCATGACATGTCACAAACTATACTTCTGGCATTTCACTTCCTTTGGGGTCCAATTATTAACTCCCAGTCCTCCCACCAAGCTCTGCATTTGCCCTAACAGGTTACATAATTAATAAAAATAAAATAACTCAGACATAGAGAATGTGCGGCTTTTCAGAGGTGCTTGGACTGCCTTGCCCATCAGTCCAAGCTAGTGTAGTCAATAGGAATGAGGGGAGTTGTGTTCCAGGATCCAGCATATTCCTGATCCTTGATTTAAATCTTGGATCTGTTTTTTTAAGGGATGGACATCCTCAAAGCATTGGTCAGCTCAGGCAGCTCAGAAGGGACACCGCTTCTGAATACGAGAGGCTCGGGACAAGCTTCCCAGGAAAGGGTTGCTCTTCTGTCTTCCTGGCTTCCTCCACAGAGGTTAGCGTCTGGCGCTTTTGCAATCTTGGGCCTGATGGACATTGGCTCTGATCAGGCAGGGCTTTTCCTATGACAAGGAAAGGGATCAGGGTGGTGATCCTCACTCTGAAGGCTGCCTGAGGACCGTCCTCTATCGGAAGGTGTCCTTTGTTTAGAGGGCTGTCCCGTCCAATTCCAGGATAAAGCAGATGAAAATGAACCGCCAGGATCATCACTGGTTAGCTCCCAGGCAGCGGACTGAACAGACAGGCATATGGTCTTCTACATTGTGTAAGATATATTGTACTTCTAATCAAATAACAATAATAAGTTACATGACATTTATTACATGCCATTTATTATTATTTCATGTATACCCTGCCTTTTTTCCCCTTTCCTTCTCCTCTCCATTTTATCCCTACAACAACCCTGTGATGTAGGTCAGGCTGAACGTGAGTGACCTGCCCAAAGTGGGCTTCAAGGCTGAATGGAAACAGAACCCGAATCTCCCAACTGCGAGTCCTGCACTCTGACCACTGCGCCACACTGGCTGTGCTGCTAGTAATCAGTTTTGAATCAGCATCTCCGCACACGCAAGCGGACGTGCAAATATTATGCAGCGCAGCCGCGGGGGGGGGGTCCTCTTTTTTCGGGTAGTCGTGCGTGGCCCCCCCAGCCTGACGAGTGCCCCCCCTCGCCCCGCGATCTCCCAGCCGTCCCGGTGCGCGCTCCTCCCCGCGCAGCCCCGCTCGGGGCAACCCGCGGTCCGGTTAAAGCCCCACGGCGGGCCGGGCCGGGCCGGGCGCTCGCCCGGGGCGCGTTTCCATGTTAGCTCAGACGCGCTGGAGCAGAAGCGCCGCCGAGCGCGGGCAGGCCAGGCACGGCCTGTTTGCAAAGAGTTAAGGAGGCGGAAAATGCGGCTGCCTCTCTCCATAGAAACGGCGATCTCGAACCGGGGGAAACTTTATTAAAGTCCGATGGGCCGATAAGCGCCCGCGCCCGCCTTTAATTAAAGCGCAGAGGAAATTGCCGGCGCCCGGGCCCCGCGCCCCTCGCACGTTGCTTGGAGACTGTCCCCCCCCTCCCCGGGCTGCGCTCTGCCTCGACGGGTGGGGATCGTAATACATAATAATAACAACCACCGTCTTCCCGGGCGAAGGCGATATTACCCCCCGCGGGCGCGGGGTGCGCGCAGAGCTGCCATGAGACGCGGCGCGGCCCGGACGCTGCTGCTCAACATGTACCTGCCAGGTAGGGCGGGGACCGAGCCCGGGCTGCCCCGTCCAGCCGTCTGGGGCTCTCCCTAGATTGAGCGCCGGCAGGCGAGCGGAGGTGGGGGCGCCGCCGCTGCCCTCCATGTGGCGGGTCGCCCCTTCTCCCGGCGAGTCGCAGCCCCCGGCCCGTTTCTTTCCTGCCTGATTACTTCTGCGCCTAATTGCCCGCCCTCGCCTGCCGCCGTCCTCGCCCCGTGCATGCTTCTTTGGGCTCTTAAGCAGACGCGCGCAACCCTCCTCTCGCCTTCCCTCTTTAAAGCTGCCCCGACGGCTCCCGTCGGAAGTCGGATTTCCTTTTTCCTGGACGCGTTTCCTGGCTTCATAGCGGCTTGTCATTGGGGGGGCGAGGCAGAGCCGCAGAGGCGGGCGACCGGGCGACTTTGAACTACGAGTCTCATCCTAGGAAAGGAGTTTCCCGCATCCTAAGAGACATTTCTGGGTGGGAGTCGGGACGAGTTCGGGTGTGTTTGCGCTCATCCTCGTTTTTCTCTCTCCCCTTTTCTCTCTCCCGCCCCCTCCTTGCTGACCTTCTTTGCAGACCCGGTTGGGGACACTTTGTTCAAAGAAGGTAAAAACCAGGCGTGGGGCTCACTAGGGCCTGGGGTTCAAAAAGGTAAGACCGCCGCTTCCTCTTCTTCCCCTACGGCACTTCGATCAGGGTGCGGGGAAGCCCATCTAGAGACTCGCGGTCCTGTTCGGATGCCGCAAGGTTGTTCCGTTTCCAAGAGGGCCCGATTCGCTCGAGTCTGAGTTCATCTGATGCTCTCTCAGCCTGGCTCTAAATAGGACCCGCATCCTACGAGGCGGAGACTCACCTTCCAGGATCATACAGGATTCCTGTTGCCTCCGCAACATTTTGCGGCATTTCTCTGCCCTTTAAAATATCGGCAGAAACCCGGCCACTGAGCAGCCGAGAGAACCTGCGGGGGAGTGCTGGTCTTGGATTTTTGCAGAGCCGGTCCGAAAGTAAGGATGTATCCTAGTTAGAGTAGAAAACGGGAATGAAAAACAAGCGAAGCAGCAAACCAAAAGGACGACCTGCTGTTTGATATCGGACTTTGCGAGACTCTTTCGAGCCATGACCGGGTCAGTCGGATAGGATACGATTGCTGCTCTAAAACAGTTCTAACGACAAAAAATAAACACCACTAAGGGGAAAAGTATAGGAATCAAAAGAGAGCTCAGGATTCTGTTGCATAGAAATGTCGTAGAAATGTGTGGGTGCTTGCTGGTTACAGTAAGAGCGGAGCCTGCCCTATCTGAGCATGCCTTATACTGCCGTAGATAACTACTCGTTGTAATTTAGGAAAGGCTGCTCTTTGCGCGTTGACTAAGCAGCGGCTCTTCAAGGATTTGGGCAGGGGTCCTCTCCCCGAGGGGACCCGTATGCGTTGGATCACGATCCTCGTCTCTCCCAAGGAGGACTCCGGTGTATGGAAGGCTGCAGGGGTCTTTCCTAGCCCTACTTGGGAATGCTCAGAATTGAACTCCAGACTTTTCCCAACGTGGCGCCCGAGCTTTTCAAATCCCGCTTTCAGCTTCCCACTGAGGGGTAAACGGCCCGTCTCTTGCCAGGGGACGCCGCTTCCAGGACGGCAATTTCAGTCCCCCTGCTGCTTTACACACCTTCAGCTAGGCTGGCAGAGCGCAGCTGGACCACCAAGGGCCACCCCCGCACCCCATCACCTTCGGCACTTTTTTCGTCTCCTGAAATCTGTGCTGCCCGGAGACGAGCTGCCTGCACTTTTTATTCCTGAACCCCACCGTCCTCCAGGGCTGTTTCCAAAAGGCCAATGGCCCCCTCCCGCCCCACCTTTCCTGCGGCAGATCTTCACAGGACGCCAGGCACTGTTATCAAGGCGGCCACCTTTGGAGCTCCACAGCGCTCCTCTTCAGGCATCTCCGACTGCGCTGTTCAGGGCGGTTGATTTCAGCGGATCTGTTTATATTGCTTGTTCACTTTCCAGCCGCCTGCTTGACCCGAGGCCAGCGCCTCCGTGCCCCCCGCCTCGCCCCCGCCAATCGCAGCCGCCTGGAGCTCTGTGTAGCTCGAAAAGGCTCTCTTAAAACACTATTGGTTTATTGGCAAGTGCTATCTGGGCAAACTGAGGGCCTACTGAATTTCCAGGTGGCTGTATTTATTTTATTTATATCCTGCAAGTAGCCCAAGGGAGTTTGCACACTTTCTCCTCCTCTAGTTTATCCTCACCACAAGCCTATTTTTACCCTTCTCTTCCTCCTCCTCCTCATCTCTATACCGTGCAATAGCCGAAGCCTGTCCCAAGTGAGCTTCGTGGCCTGGATCTCCCGCAGTCCCAGCCTAACTCTCTTCCTCCAGTATCTGGGGCAGTGTGCTCGTGTGCACCAACTGCCGAGGAACATGGGTGCGGGAGAAGCGTGCAGCTGGGCGCGCATTCCCCGTGGGCGGCTGGCTCTTCTGTTCTTCGGCGCCTTTCCGCTCCCCGAGAAAGGGCACCGAACAAACCCGCGGTCGCGCAAGGGCCGCTCCGCACTTCTCCTCCCGCAGCTTGCGGCCTGTCCTCCGAGGCTGCCCTAGAGATCCGCTCCCGTGGAGTGAGGCCTGGAGCGGGTCGCAGGAGCAGCAGCCGAGGAGGAAAAGATTCGTGGCGTGGGCGATTTCGCTGTCTCCGTGTTTCCGTCTAGAGCAGCGAGTTAACTGAGCAGCGGCTCCAGACAGGGGATACCTCTCTCTTTCTTAGATTTCTAGAAATAAGAAAGAACGGAGATTCGAGGAAAACGGAGCCGCAGCCACGCCGATATGGTCTCTGCTTTAATAGTGCGCCGTGCAAAACGGAGCACCAGCCCAATTTGCATTTGCACTGGTCACCCCTTATCCCATCTTCATTATTTTGACAGATCCCCCGCTTGACTCCTCCCTGAAACACACATTCTTGGAGCAAAGGAACTCGACAGTCTTCGCTAGTTAAGCCGGGCAAGCCGGTGACTTTGATCCTCTTTGAGCATCTTTTGAACGAAACGCACTAAAATTCCGCAGGCTTAAATGCACGTAACCCGGATGAGCTCGGGCGGCTTAATTTGAAACAAAACAGGGCGAGCAGCGGGATTCCCGGGGAGAAGCGCTCTGGCTCCTCAGCCAAACAGCGGCCCGATCCAGCCGCGAGCGATCCACGTCCCCGGCCCAGCGAATCCCCACCGGCGCGTTTCAGCAAACGCACCGGCAGCCCGGCGCTGGGCGGACTCGGCGCGCCCCGTTTCGCCGAGCGGGGCGTCCGTCTGTTTACCCGGAAGCCCGTTCCGCTGGGTCTAGTGAGCCTCGCCACCAGGCAAGAGAGGCGAGAGCGCAGCCAAGAAAACCAGTTCTGCAGCCCTATTTACCTAGTGGATGTTAATCCCATTTTACTCCTCTGCAAATATGTATTAGGGGCAGAGTGGCCGACGCGATGCCTGGCTGGAGAAGGGGTGGCGGCGGCGGCGCTTAATGGGCTGGGTGTAATTACAGTCTGACTGACGTCGATGGCCGAGGTCAGTGGTAGGGACGACACCGGATATAACCTGGTTGGACTCACGTTTAAGAAAAATTGAGGCACGGTCAGAGAGAGCCCTTCTCACTCGGTCGGGGCCGATGCCAGCCTTTGCGGATGGCGCGCTCCCGTTGGCTTCACCCACAACGGCCACCGTTCGCAGCCACTGGGCGATCTCACCGGCGGTGATGGCCCTTGTGGGTCACTGCATCTGGAGGGCGCTCTGTTGGGCAGGGTTGCGCTAGCTTCATTTCCCGTGAAGCCCCTTTCCCTGGGCAGTTACTGAAGATAAACTAATCTGAAGGGGATGCTGCTGGCATGAGGAAGATCAGCGCTTGCACCTCTTTTGAATGTATAGACCGCTTTTGCATAGCAATTGACACAGCCGACCAAAGAACCTGCCTGGTTGCCCATAGTTACAGAGGCTCATTATTTTAACTTTTCATGCTTGTTTTGAATTTAGTGTCTTTTGCATCAGGGCAGTGGACCCGACCTCGTGATGGTGCTGTGCTTTAAATACATTTAAAACGTGAAGGTACACATGTTCAAAGTTATTGTTTTGAAAGGTATATCTTGTGGGGGTGGTATTTTGTTTTGTTTTGTTTTTTGAAATGCATTGTGTGCTGCACAGCTGAAGTAATGCAACTTGGCCTTCTGGACTGTGAGGAAAACTAAATCATTAAATCCAGTGTCCAAAATTACTTCCGTTTCATGCCATCCAACGAACTAAACAACTCATTTCAACAGTATGAATATGGCAACATTCGAATTTTGTTCCAAATAGGCAAAGATTGATAATCAAAACACAACAGTGATTGATTTTACTTCTTTATTATTAGAATACGGAAGCTGGAAACCAAAGCTCTTCAGTCACAATAAAGGAAAGAATTTCCTAGCAGGTCGTATAGTTCCATCCATGCTTACTTGGAAAGAAGGCGCTCTGGTTCTAGTGGGCTTATACACACGTAGGCATGTTTGGGATTGCAGCCGCACTCATTAGGTGCACAGGTGGTGGGGGGGAACAATGAAAGAGTGCACTGCAGTTGAGTGGTTAAAAAGGAAAATCTGATTTTATTTCCAAGAGCTAATATATCCATCTACTCCCCTGGGCTGCCTGACCTGTGTGGTATTTTATGACCTAGATCTTGCTCAAAGTATATTTGCAAGTAGGATGCAATTCACAGTTTTGGAAAACAGGTGCATGTGCAGAACGGAGCAACACAGAACACGTCTGAAAACCAAAATCTATATGACATTGGTGTATTCTCACGTAGCACTTTTTATCTGCAAATTTCTGTATCCTGAGGTTGCCAAAGAAATAGTAAAAGATAAAAACAAAAGCAAGAAGATCCAGTTTGTGCGAAAGTCTCAAAATTCAAGAAGACCTAGTCTAATAGAGGCAAGAATTCAATGGGACAAAATGATTAAGGAATAACCAATTGCGTGAACATAGCCACAAGATCCTTCACGTTCTTTGTCTGGTTTAACTGTCTAACAGCGATCTGGCAAGGCTGAGAGATATGACTTAGTTTAAGCCACTGCTACCCCAATTGATGTATGCTTTCTCGAAGGAAGCCACATTCAGTTCAGAAGAGTTTACTTGCAAGTAAGTGTACTTAGAATCGCAGGATCTGTAAAGTAGTTTTTTCCTTAAAACACACACAAAACCCTAATCACTGATGCGGGGCAGCGGGGGGAGGGGCGGCGGCGGCGGGGGTGGATTAATTTTAAGCACAGGATCATCTCTTCTATAAGCAATTAGATTTTTCAACAGCCGAGGAAGTGTATTGTAGACCGTTAATATTCATCACTTTAACATCGGCATGTCAGCAACATATTTTTTAAAGAACGTCTCCTTCCCCCTCGTCCTTTTCTTTGCAGTGAGAGTTAAGATGCGGTGAGAATACACCTACTATTTTTTCCGTGGTGGGGAAATGGTCTACCCGTTTGATCTGTTGAACCATCCCTTCTTCTTTTTGCAAAGAATTCGGATCCGCTCTTGTTTGCTTGAATGCAGACTGGAACTGCTTTTCGGTGCAGTCCCGATCCAGCTAGAGCGAAAAGCATTTTAAGTCGCGTTCCTCTCAGCTGGAGAGTTGCGGCTACGAGT